TGATCCAATTCGCCCACTTTTCTTGAGGAATCATATCAGAGGGCCTCCAAATAGGTCGAAATAAAAAAGTTTGAGAGAGCCCATGAGTGAGGGAAAATATTTTATCTACTAATAGTGGACAAATTGGAGTATTACCACTGAGATAGACTACAACCCCCCCTAGCAAAGGATAGTGGAGGTCGCAACAACAGAAAGATGAGAGAGGTCATCCCTAAAGACATCAACATCTGAATGTGTTGAGATCCCAAATATAAAGACAGGTGACCCAGATTGAGCTACGCCACATTAAACGACCAACACCAATTCAAAAACAACGTAAGGTTGACCACACTAAACATTGTGACTTTCATGACAATTTTGACCGTACCATAGATGAATATTGTGAGCTTTGAGATGTCGTAGAAAAATAATACGAGATGGCAAGCTCAAGAAGTACATCATCTAAACTCAAGGATGGAGGAATAATGGGAAATAGTTGTGGCAACACAACCAAAGTCGAAGCCATAACCCTAAGGGAGAACACTATGACAGAGATCAGCATTGAAATGACAGTCGTGCTAGAGCACGAACAAATTGCACCCTAAGTCTAAACAGTACTGCGAGCCAGACGCTTACATAACACCATTTATTATGCTATGGAAGAGGTTGAGACTCGGCGAGTGCCAAACGAAAAATAAGTTCCAATCTGACCTCAAATGAGATAAAGAACAAAGGTAAGTCCAAAGGCCCTAGCCTCCTTGTGTTCAAAATGATGAAAAAACATTTTTTTTTTGGAGGTTACAAGGAATTGAACACAACACCCTACACTACACACACTCCTAACACACACACCCAACACAAGCATTAAAATGATGAAAAAACATTTTATTAGTGTCAATCACGGAAAAGAATATTCGATATAGACAAAATAGTTAAAATAGAAATAATGGTGATGAGTTGAAATAAAAAGCAAAAAATTGAGGGAAAAATAGAACTAAAAAATAAAATAGGAATTAAAAATTGAAAAGAAAAATATAAATAAATAAATAAGAGAAAAAAATACATAAGAGGCAAGAAAAAAATAAATAAGAGAATAAAATTAAAGAGGAAAAAAATAGAAAATAGAGAGATAAAGGAAGAAATAGAAGGAGATATCAGGAAAAAGAACAAAAAAGTAACCATATGGAACATAGGAAGAAAAACGGGTCTAACTCTATAATATCTAGGGTTAGACCTCCCACCAATATCCGTTCTAAGACACATTGCCCGCCAACTTATATCTCACTCTTTTAAGTCTTATCTTACTACTTTCTTCAAGTAAGTTTCGGCCAACCTCTTCCTTTATGTCAAGCTTTTGGTAAAAAAAAATCTATTCTTATGAGAACGTTTAGGAATATATATCAAGTTTTGCATGATCCGTTCAATATGTATGATAGACATTTTGTTATACTAGTTCTACATGATTTTTACAATTTGCATGGTAGACATTTTGTTATATAATGTACAATTCAATCCAAAGCTTAAAAATTTATAGTCTTTATGTGATTTTATCTAACTTCTCTATTGATATTTCATTAACCTAGTCATGATCAGTAAGCAATTCATGGAGCATGATTTATTTTCATTCATGAATCATGATGATCAATTGGATATCTTTTGAATTTTGTTTTGATGATCAATTAGATATCTGATCCATTCGTTAGTGTTATAAATCGACAATCACGCACAAATCGAAAAAGAGAAAGAGAAGAGAGAATTTTGACACGACAATTTATTCTGGTTCACTCAATATAGGCTACGTCCAGCTTGTCTGCACTATGTTCACCACACTGCCACTCATTACAAGTCACTCGGTTTACAAGGAGTGTATAAATAGGATTAGAAAATCCTAACAATAGTTATTCATGGGCCCAAGCCCAAACTATTAAGAAAAAGAAAAATTATAATAAATCAGAGATCCACAAGCCTCTATGGGATCCCAGTTGCCTTTCTGCTGACCTCGACAACAAGGGTCATCATTAGCATGCAAAATTGGAGTCATACCCAACAGTTAGGAGTTAGATTTTTTTTCATTGTAATTAAACATGCTTCCAACCCAATGAGCCCATGAAACCGCTATGCGAGATAAAAAAAATCAACTTCATGTTGATTGTACATCTGTTTATTAGATTTGATGGTAGTTATTATAAAATGTTGATATTAATAATTAGGGATAAGTTATTCTACCTACCATTTTTTTTACTTACCTTTGCCTATCACCCTCCAACATCATTAGATCAGAATCTCAAGAAGAAAGAGAAAGATAAATGTTAGTTAAGATTCTGATCTAATGGTGTTGGAGGGTGGTAAGTAGGGGTGTAAATGGGCTGGGCTGGGCCGGGCTTTGGCCTTCATGGCTTAAGCCTACGTAAAAAAAATTCAGTCTATCTGGCCTACTGGCCTATTAAAGGCTTTATTTGTAGGCCAAGCCCGGCCCATTTTTAAAAATAAGAAAGCCTGACATAGCCTATATGCCTTGTTGGCCTCCCACTGTAGATACTAAGCGAAAAAAATAATTGTATAGAGCAAAGAAAGTTCCATTCATGCATGCACTAGTACTTCTCATAAGAAAAAAATGACAAACAAGAAAGAGTCAACATAATACCTCATCTCTAGAATGTATATCATAGATGAATAGAATCAAAGAAATGGGAAAAATAAGAAAAATACAATTACTGGATGCTGAAAGAAAGTCACAAGAGAATATCATTCATCTAAAATTCTTTAAACCACCATCAAGACAAGGAAAAAAAGAGTATTATTGAAAGATCTTCATCAGTAACATCATAATCCAGCAAGGTACCCATTGCTCCATGGTATTAAGCTGCAACAGCATGTAAAATTTGGAGACATTAGACAAGTTTTCCTTTCATAAAATAAAATAGCACAAAAAGTAAGAGATATTGGTATTTGGTACTTTGCGTCTTTGTCACATAAAATAAATATTATTTTATTATTTTATTTTAATAAATTAAATAGGCCAGCCTACAAGGCTGTAGACCGGGCTTGACAAAATTGGCCTATGATCTATTTGTTAAAAAAACTTTTTTATAAGCCTAAATCTACTCTACTTTAGTCTTAATATATAATATATGTATACCAATTCTAAAACTAAAAATTTTAAGTATTTTATATATAAAGGATTTCATATAATGTAGTTCTCGAAATAAGTTTTCAAACATATTAAGTTTTTTATATTTTAAAAAAAAATTACTCGACCAAATTATCCTTAATAATTTTTATTTTTTTTTGGACATTATCCTTAATAAATTAAAGCTTATGATAATTATTTACCAAAAAAAAAAAAAAACTTATGATAATTAACAGGTAAGGTCAACCAACGTTTTAACATAATAAATTAAGCGTTATTTAGCTAAAGTGTAATTTAACCTAACATATTTCCTCTCCTTCTCACGTGTTGTACAAGATACCATTCAGTTGGCGTCAAAAAATTAAATAGGTAGATGTAAGAGCATGTGTTCGATCATCATCTTTGTGAAGGAATTAAAGTCTTAACCCCAAGACCCGTCCCAAATCAAACTAATCGTGAAGAGATGAATCGATTGAAATATCTCCTTCAAAAAAGGATACATTAAGAAAACAAAAGAAATAGTTTAATTTGTTGTTCTAGATTCTTAATTTTTTGTTAAATTCATATTATATAAAAAAGGAAGAAGTTATACTTACTGCTAAAAAGTTTTACAACTCTTATTACTAAACTAATCACCATTGATTTCCGTCAATCTAACGGTTATAATTTATTGGGTATAGTTATTAATTAATTATTAATTCACAATAAATTATAACTGTTAGATTGACGGAAATCAACGATAATTAATTTAGTAGTAAGAGTTGTAAAATTTTTCAGTAATGAGTATAACCACCCCTTATAAAAAATAGGTATAAAAAATAACTAAAATATTAACATCTAGAAAAGACCACACAATTCTTATATATTACCAAAAAAATTTAAAAGCTTGTATAGGGTTATATTATCATTTTTTTTTTGTCTAATCACATACGATAATTTTAATTATTTGCATAAGAGTTACATTTTTTTAACTTCTCTATTATAAAGGAGAGAAATGTAAAGAAAGGTCAAAGAGAGAAAAGTGATGATATAATAACTAGAAGCTATATAAGTCTGTCTAAAGCCATTTAAAATAAATAGCTCAACGGGGTCGTCGAATCTTATCAATTTGCAATAACATAAATTATGTCTTTCATTATGTAATAAAAAAATGGGAAAAGTATTTCTCCAGTCACCAGAGATAAAGTTATCTCCAGTGAACTCAAAATGACGTCGTTTTGAAGTTATAAGATTAAAAAATCATAATGATAAAGACTAATATAATCCTTTAATATATTATAATTACAAAAACACTTTGATTTTCTTCCCAAAACAACGTCGTTTTAAGTTCACTGGTGATAACTTTATCTCCGGTGACTGGAGAAATCCTTTACCCAAAAAAAATTATGTCTTTCATTTGTAAATATTCATTATTTGTCATTACTACCCATTATTTTATTTTATTTTTTAAATTTACTTCAAGGTATAGTATTAATCTCAATTCAACTCAAATGATATATATATAAAATAAAAAAAAGTCAAACTCGTCTTACTATTTTTTTTGTGGCTTTAACAATTACATGTCCACAGCTGAAGTAAAAGCTGGTCAATGTATTTGGTTATCCATTTACCACATATATCGGAAGGCGAGTATTTTTGTTAGAAAGGAATGTCTTTTACCTTGTGTAGTGTTATTCCCTAAACAGAAAAAAAAAATGCTATTATTTCTATTGGGGTCTCCTCTAAACACACGGCTAAAATCCATTTGTTAAATTTGGCAAATGCCTTAACCAAACCAACGGCTATATCCTAAGGCTTTAACGAGCCGTGTGGAAATAATTAGTGTGTGTCTTTAGTACTATGATCTATCCTTCTTTGAGGTTCCTCATCAAACACCTTTGTCAAACAAACAATGGCACCTTTCAACAAGGTTCTTATGATTTTCACTTTCTTGTTCCTTGCCTTCGTCGATGCCAGACTCAAATCTCAGGAGTTTCGTATGTTTACCGGAAAACCAAAATTTCCAATACCCTTCCCTATCTTCGGATCAGATGATGACACTGGCAATAATTACAATGATCAAAAGATTTCTCAGGGAGTGAACAAGCCTGATTTCGAAACACAATCCATTGGGCGTTGGGAGGTGATTTCTCAGGAGTCGGGTGTATCCGCCATGCAGATCAATTTGATGCCCACAAACAAGATCGTTGTGTATGATGCCACCGTTTACCGTGTCTCTAGACTCAAATATCCAAAAGGGGTACCATGTGTTCCATTCAAAAATGAGAATACTAAACAACAATTACTTGATTGTTTTGCTCATTCAATGGAATACGATATTGAGACAAATCAAGTTAGGCCACTCAAGGTTGGTGTCATCTTTCTTTCTCTCTCTCTTTGATCTATATTAAGATTTAAGATAAGGTTATATTTACGAAGTTTTTGTTTACAAACTACACTAAATATGACCGGTTATATTTCAATCAAGAGTATGTATGATCGGTCATACTTAGTGTAATTTATAAAAAAAGTTTGTAAACGGATCTTTCTCCTAATATTAATGTAAATAGGTCAGATGACTTATCAGGAGCGTACAACTCGACTTACATAATGTCAAACTTAGTTACTCTATTCAATAAATTAGAATACGGTCAAATTTTTTAAAAAATCCGTTTACACCCCGTATCCTAAACTAATTCATCGAAACTTAACTAATTCGATGCTATCGGACCCATATAAAGGGCAACTCTTCTAGCAATATTTTTTCGATTCCCATGACTGGAACTTGAAACTTGTGTTAACGGGAACAAGTTCTTACCGTGATTAATGTTGATATCTTTATTATTCTTATGACACTAATTCAAAAGGTTACAAGAATGTGATGAATTGATTCAATGCATGGCATTTAACCTTTGGTTCAGGTAACAGCAGATCCATGGTGCTCATGTGGAGGGCTTACACCTGATGGTACACTCGTGAGTGCTGGTGGTTTCGCAGATGGAGGAAAAACAATCAGATACGTTGGTGGTGGTAATTGCAAAGATAAGAACTGTGATTGGAGGGAATATAACAATAAATTGAAAGAGGAAAGATGGTACGTACTTACGGTATTAATTTATCCACTATATATAATTCATGTTCCCAATTTTTTTTTTTAAAATCAAAATTAAGAATTTTTATTTAAACCGACAATTTTTACTTAATTTAATATACATACCAATCATAAACATACGACAAGTTTTTATAGGTCCTCGATCATATGTAATTTTTTTTTTTTTTCAAACTCTTTATCATCAAGATAGAATATTCTATAAATCGTTACAGTCATCATAAATTTATTTCGTTCAAAACGAATGTTATTTTTACATCTATATTTAATGGTCCCCAACTTCTCCTTTCAAAGGAGAAGAGATATTTTGCGGCAATCAAAAATAATTATATCTTACCGGTAAGATATAGTTGTAATATTAAAGTTTTTTTTATTTCTGCCGCATCAGCCATCGACCTTATAAAAAGAAATAAAAAATAACTTTTAAAATTATAATTATGCCTTACAGATACGACATAGTTATTTTTGGTTGCTGCAAAAAATTTCTTCTCCTTTTAAAAGGAGAAGTACATTTCCCATATTTAATATACAAATTTTTTACATAAGGTTATATTTAGTGTACTCCCGGGAATAAACTTGGTTGAATATATAATGTAATTTGTAAGAGTTTGTAAACAAAAAGTTTGTAAATAACACATCATATTATATATATATATAGGGGTTTGCATTTGTCATTTAATATGACACAACAAACTTTTTTACCCACACAATATTTTGTGGACCCCACACTTTTTGAAGAAAAAAGAAAAAAAAATTACGGCACGCAAAACGAATCTCTATAACATTACACAATCACTTTTCCTACAACATAACTCTTATAAAACCCGTATATATATGTTGATTGATTGTTCCACTCTTGTTATTTGTAGGTATGGAAGTCAAGCAATCCTTGCCACAGGAGACTACATTGTGATAGGAGGCCGAAGATCCTTTAGCTATGAATTCATCCCAACAAAGGAAGGTCAAGCCCCCGACAAACCCTACTTCTTCCCATTCCTCTATGAAACCTCAGACATTGATGAAAACAATCTCTACCCTTTTGCCCACCTCTCCACCGATGGTAACCTCTTTATCTTCTCCAACAACCGCTCCCTCCTCCTCAACCCTACTAGCAACAAAGTGGTCCGCACTTTCCCCGTCCTCCCCGGCGGCTCCCGGAACTACCCGGCTTCCGGTATGTCCGCTCTCCTCCCTATAAAGCTTGATGATGCCACCAACGTCAACAACGGTGGCGGCGTCATCAAGGCGGAGGTCATTGTCTGCGGAGGCAACACTCATGACAGTTTCTATTTAGCCGAGACACAAAAATTGTTCCTCCCAGCTCTTAAAGATTGCAACAGGATGATAATCACAGATCCTAAGCCTAAGTGGGAATCAGAAGAGATGCCTTCGGGGAGAACTATGGGTGATGCTATGGTCCTCCCTAATGGACAACTATTGTTCATCAATGGTGCACAAAAGGGCACAGCTGGATGGTGGGATGCAGATCAACCTAACTTCACGCCAGAGCTGTATAGCCCAGAGAAGCCTAAGGGTCAGAGATTCAAGGTGTTGAAGCCTACCCAGATAAGTAGAATGTACCACTCAACCGCAGCAGTGCTTCCCAACGGCAAGGTTTGTTCAAAATTTTCTTGTGTATCTTCATTAATATTAATTTGGTTTAGATATATATATATATATATATAGGTTGGTTATATTTACAAATTCTTACAAACTATACTATGTCTGACCGGTCGTACACTAATCAAGAATGTATGACCGTTCATACTTAGCGAGAGAGAGAGAGAGAGAGAGGGGGGAAGAGATTTTTTAACTCCGGTATAAGAATAAGAAGTTTTACTCTCATTCTTTTTTTTTGGTAATCTAGTTTTACTCTCATTCTTACCCATTGATTTTCATACATCTAACGGTAATTTATTAGATATTTATAATTAATTAATAAATATAATTTAATAAATTACAACTGTGAGAGGTTTAAAATCAACAATTAAGATTAGGAATAAGATCTTATTCTTACACCTGAGTCAAAAGATTATCTCTCTATATATATATGTGTTTATATTATTCTCATATTTTATTTTAAGAAAAAATATGTGTCATTTTAAAGGATATAAAGTTGTGTCATTTTAAGAGAGAAAAAGAGATAGATAAAGAAGAAGAGAGAGTTGACAAAAAAATAAAGGTGTCGGTATCACCTCTTCGTAAGAATGAAAGGATATAAGTTGTGTCATTTAACTATTAACTATCATGTTAAAATGAAGGGAAAAGTGTTTGTCCTTTTAAATGACACAACTTATATCATTTCACTCTCACAAATAGGTGGGACCCACATCTGTATATTTTTTTGTCCACTCTTTCTCCTCCTTTATTTATCTCTTTCTCTCACTTAAAATGACACAACTTTACATCCTTGAAAATGATAGACACTTTTCCCTAAAATGAAATATCTATTTGCCAAGAAGAAGAAAAAAAAAAAAGCAGGATATTCATTTCTAATAATATGGTATGTTAATTTTTTGAGAATTGCATAATAATCTCCTTATTAAATCGATTATATTAATTTCAACAGATTTGGGTTGCTGGGAGCAACACACATGATACCTACAAGGACAAGGATAAATTCCCAACTGAGACAAGGGTTGAGGCATTCTCTCCTCCTTATCTAGATCAGAATCTGGACAAGTTCCGGCCTCAAATCGTTGTGGACTTATCTTCGAAGAAGTTAAGGTATGGTCACAACTTTCAGACGCATTTCTCGGTGAACGACATTGATGGAGGTAATATGTTGACCAAGAATGACATTAAGGTCACTATGTATTTTCCACCCTTCACCACACATGGGGTCAACATGAATCAAAGGCTTTTGGTCCTCAAGATTAAGAGCATTGCTGAAGAGCCCAACGGGAGTTACAAGGTTAAACCGGAGGCGCCGCCGTCGGGTAAGGTTGCTCCTCCGGGCTACTACCTTCTCTTTGTTGTCCACCGTGGGGTGCCTAGCAAGGGAATGTGGGTCCACATTCAGTAGGGATAGCTAGCTTTACATATGAGTGTTTTTGGCTAGTTTTATGTAGCATTTTTTTTTTTTACTTAAATATCTTGAAGTTCTTTATTTTTTATGTACCAAAAATTGGAGGAAAATAGTGATGTTGTTGTTATCACACTATTTTTAGTCATGTAAAAGTTAAGTTGTTTTTAGTTCCAGCACAAGAATTGTTCTACATGAGAATTATCATGTAGGAAGAACTAATTCATTATTGTGCAATATAAATGTTGTAAAAAGTTATTGTAAGAAAGTAGAGTGAGAAATGATCATCTCATCTTTCAACTTTTTGAACATAAACTTGTTAGTTTAGAATCAATTTAGTATTTAATTTCTTTTCTACGAACTTTGTCTTAAAAACTAATATATAAGAATCCATTAGTTTTTCAAATTTCAAGTGATTGCAAAAGACAATACAATTTTAAGTTTGCCTCATTGAGTGTCCTAGTAATAATGGTTCATATATTTGCAACTAGTTAATAATAAATAAATTAAAAAAAATTTAGAAAGAATTATGTTTCACTTATTTAGCTGCTCTAAATAAGAGATTCATATGATAAAGTAAATTAATAGAAAATCAAAGGTTGAAGTATTTATCAAATAGAAGCAAATGAACAACAAAATAGTTTACTTCGCCTTTAAATCTCACTTTTAAGGAATTAAATTCTGCATTACACATTTACTTCAGAATATATAGGTCATTAACTTAGAATTAGTGTTTCTCATATCATATGAGATAATTTTATGGGTAATATTTTTCTTATGTTGCATAAGAGAAGTTTTATCTCCTACTCAAACAATAAATAGGAGAGAAAAAAAAAATTGGAGGTGAAAGAAAAAAATTCTTATAAGATCCATTTAAAAAATATGAATGTAAGAGATAATATTTCACTTATCTAACATAAAAATGTAATTCCCAATAATTATTTATTAACTTAATAGTAAATCTTGTATTTTCTTTTCTATCAACAAAATGGTCTCCTCACCAAAAATTTCTCCAGTACTTCTGAAATGATGAAGACCGAGTGTACCTACCACCTAATAAAGTTAATAAATAATCTATCGAATTATATTTATTTTAACCATTTTTTATAATTAAGTTCACTTTTGTGTAACACCATTTTTTTCAAAAAATAAATGATAAACACAAGAAAAGACAAAATTCAAAAATGAAAATGACATTTCATTGGTCAAGGTCTCCCAGCAAAAGGCAATGACTATAGTCTGTGCACTCTGACCAAAAAGCATAAAAAATAATTTGAAGGGCTAGCCAAGGGTAGCAATAGCCAAGGGTAGCTATACAATGCCATATAAAAAGGGCAAAAAAAAAAAAAAAAAAACTCAATATATGAGCTACTGTTTGGATAAAATATTATAATCCTCTAATCAGTAAAGTGGGTTGGATCATGGGGATAAAGTGATGCTTTGTGAATGTTATCCAAGCCACAGAAGAGCATTACTATACGCTCCAATTCTGCTCCAAAGCCACCATGTGGGGGAGCACCATATCTGGAAATGATCAATCAAGTCATTAGTATTTGATAAACAAATTGTTTACCCCACGATAATTTAATTGCCAGAGCTAAGTAGGAGGAGGAGGCCAAGCACTAAGCATGAAACATTGAGCACAAGAAGAGGAAGAGGTGATAAATTATACCTAAAAGAATCAATGTAAGTAGACATAGATATTGTCTTGACATCAATGCCGCAATCCTTTGCACGTTGTTCCAAAAGATCTGGGTTATGGATATGCTGACCTCCTGAAATTATCTCCTCACCTAAGGCACAAGAAATACAGAGAGGTTCAAATCAAATAACAGACACAAGCTTCTATGAAAATATAAATACATGTTCTCAAAGAAGATTTTTAGTTGAACCAGACAAAATGAGATAAGTGTAGGTTGTAACACCAAAGAATTGTATGATAAATCAATTTATTGCTTACCTCGAATAAAGACATCAAAAGATTTACTGTAGGCTGGATTGTCATGGCAAGGCATTGTATAAAATGGCCTTTACAGCCAAAGGGTACCGATGAAGGATATAGAAGTCAGTGTCGTACCTATAATTAGAATTACAGCCCAATTCTTTATTTTAATAATAGCTCATAACAACAAAGGCAAAATATTTAGTGGTAAGAAGTTGAGAAAAAGAATTACTTTTCTAAAACTGGCTGGCCTAGTTTCCTTTTTGCTTCACAATTCAAGTCACCAAAAGGTTGAATTTCTAATCCAGCATCCTGCAAAGCGAAAACATTAGTAGCCATAAGACAAGTAAATTCCTACTATTCCTTTAGATATAGTAGGTTTATATTCTTTTGAGTCTTGAGGTCAATGATTCAATAGGGTAAGAATCTCCCAGAACCATCTATAAGCGGAAAAATAGCCAGGAAGACCTCAGAGCATCAGCTCCTACATCCCTCAGAACAGAACAATTGGAACCTATAATGACAAGTTTTTTTTTTTTTTTTTTCGTATTATATTATCACTTCTCCATTTTTTTGTTAAGCTTACTTCTTCCACCACCCAATAACTAAAATTTTTCTTATGGGTGTTATCACTTAGAAAGCAAGATCAAATTGCAATTCATATCATGAATTGCTAAGTTAATTTTTGAATCGTAAATCATGAATTGTGCCGAATTGTAAGATTCAAAGGCACAATCAAAAATATCTTGAAATAACATATAAACGATGTACAATACTCAATGTAATAATTTTAAACTAGGAATTGACAAAATAACTTAACCATAACTCTCTGCAAGAAAAAAAAATTATTGGTCATTAGCGAAAACTAAGTCAGATGAAATGACTACTTGAAGCATATATTTCAAAAGAACAAAAATAGAGCAATGATATAACCAAATAAGATGTACATTAGAGTGAGCAAGTGAATGTGTGAAGCCTCTTTTTTAAAAGAATGAAAAAGACCAATACAATAATTAAATAAACTGCATAGAATGAGGAAGTGACTATATGAATATCTTATTTCAAAAAAAACGAAAACAGAAAATGGAATAATCAAATAGGGTGTAATCAGTGGCACACCTTTAGTTCTTTTTCACTTAAAATTTAGCCTTATTTGACTTTTCAATTTCTTTTATGTGTATGGTGCAGTTAATGATCGGGGTAATAGTTACCGACTTGTAACTGAATGAGTATGTGGATAGTGCAGTTAATGATAGGAGACTTGTAAGTTGTAACTGATGCAGTTAATGATAGGAGAGGAGAAACCTATAAAGAAGTGATGGTTATTGGGAGAGTGGTTTTGGTTGTTGTTAGCCAGTAGTTGAGTGATAGGAGAGGGCAGGAGGGAGGTTATTTTCCTCTGGATTTTCTTTAGAGATATCCAGTGTAACTTTTCTATCTTATGTAAGCCAATCTCTTCTTGCTATCCCGAAGGGATTAATCAATAAAGATCACTCTTTCCCTATCTTTTCTTGATATTCTTGACCAGTATCTTACATATTACTTCTTAAGTTGTAATAAATCATTTACTTCGCATGATAGTTGACCTCCCAATTTTTTATGAAACCTCCTCTCCTTAATTAGTTTTAATATCCTATCTATCTCATTTTATTTTCATCAATTTCTATCATATATTAGTAACCTTTCGTTTTCATTTTCATACTATTGACTCACGTGATTGTTGAGAGTTTATATTTTGTATGCTAATATATTTCACTAGTGCTTTAATTTCTCCCCCGCTCTCAAATGGAAATAGACAATTGGATAAAAGATGTAAGGTTCAGGCATCATCATCATCATCCTATCACATTTTTTTATCTACCACTTGCAAGTTAGTTTAAAAGCTTTTAAGCTTACCTTGAGCATCTGAACCCCTTCTTCATATGTAAGCCGCGGCAGATACTGCAAATTCACATTACTATTGTCAGATCAGAAACAAGAATAACATTTAACAAATGCATTACACAATAAAAGAATCATATATGCACTACATAAGAGATCAACCAAACACTATGCAACTGATAGCATAACAAATTCACTACATACGATAATTAAGGTGATACAAAATACACACCTTTAAAGGTTTAAATGGGTACTGACACCCCACAGCTTCCAGTTCCTTCTTACAATTCTGGTTCAAACTGTCAAGCATTTCAACAAATAGTCTATCAACTATATCCATGACCTGCCCAAAAACTCAAATCATCAGTATGTCAGGTTATTTAGCATTCAATCTAAAATCAGCATCTCCAAACTCACTAGATCCAGCATTCAACTTTGGAGTGTGGATTCCAATAAAGTCTTTAGACAATAAAAAATTTCTGAATACCTGCCCAACAATGCAATTATGAATTAATCAGATCATCCAGCATTGCATCAAACTTGAAGCAACCATGACCGATGACAACTATCATTCAAATAGAAAATAATTGAATAAATAACTCTTCACAATAACACTCATAGATGGTATGGTATGCTTTACATATTCAACATGAGACTGAATTTGGAAAATTCCTTGATCAGCTGGTGCTTGCAGCATCGAAACGATGCCTTCTTCGACGTTGACGTTGGACTTGCGGCTGAGTGAGACAGGGCTCACCTCATCAGGCGGCGCCTGAACGTTAACCGAACACTGCTCGTTATCCTTTATATTAAAGTGGGTTGTTGGGTCACGTGGATAAAGTGATGTTTTGCGAATAATATATTAACAATTCTTACGTTTTAAATGTTAAATTAATTTAAATATAAATTGTAATTGTTTACAAATCATGATAAGTGTGAATGAATAATAATATTATACCTTATTCAAATAGTTAACTTTATTAAAATACTTAAATATTGATTGTACTTATACCTATTATAATGAACAGTAACTCCAAAATGAATTAAAAAGTATGATTAAAGAGACAAAAAAAGAAGAAGCATGTGTTCCTAATACATGTTCTTAAAATTATATGTTCCTAATACATGTGTTCCTTATTTCTATTAATGAATATATGTTCTTAAAATTATTCTGTTA